TGTTACTGAGTCAACATTTGACAGTCACACTCTATTCTGTCATTTCATGCATGTGCTTTTTATGAGTTTTATAGCTTTGTGAGCTTTATTTCAGGGATGTCCATTATGATAGCTGATCCACAGCCCATCTCTCTTTGTGTATATGTGTCTGCTGGGGAGCAAAGCTCATCACTTACACGGATCCCAATTTCAAGGAGTAACAGAGGAACCATTTCCTTGTGCATTGTTTAATCTGGGATTAGGTAACTAAGGAAATATCTACCTCCTCTAAAACAGAGTTTTTGTGTGTTTTTTCTTTTATTTTGTTTTGTGTGCTCTATGAAGTATCAACACAGGATGTTCGCTTGAGCCTTTATAAACAGTGAATTTTTAGTTATTTTCTGTATACGTTGAAGTAATGGAATAGGAGAAGTTTTCAATTTAAGTATGTACTAGACCTGTAAACCATCATGCTGGACATCAAATGGAAAATGAAAAGATTAAATACATTGTTGTAGATGACAGATAAGAGAAATGAAAAAAAATATCTCAACAATTTTTGGAGTTGTTAGCAAAATTCTCCTTTTGAATGCATATTTGTTCACTACTCTAGCCATAGGGAAAAAAAGGTCATAACCATGGCAAGTTATTTAACACTGAGATTGAGCTAACTATTCCTGTAATTCATATATGTTAGGAAGAATCTTTACTTTTTCAGTTTCCCTCATTGACTTTTTCCCCTGATATTAAAAGCATAGATATCTTGATTTTTTTAAGTTGATGAGAATCTATCACTATATTTAAACCCCATTTACAAATTAGGATTCTGGGACTCATGGAGGATAGTCTAAAGTAACATAGCTAATACATATAACAGAGTTTGGTTAAGGATTTTTCTGATCCCCAAACCCATTATTTCCTTATGGGTCATTTTCTATATTTTCAAATATGTCCTCTTCTCATTAATTCTTATGGTCTTTTGCCATTCAGAATGTACAGATCTTTACTGACTACTTCTAATCAACTCATTGCTTACCTCTCTAGATATTTCTTGGCTTTCCTTGTTGATTTTCACCATAGCTTGGTGTCATGCACAAACAATACATGTGTTGTTTTCAAATCAACTGAATAAGCCCCAGAGCCTAAGACCAGCTGCCAAATTGCCTATGTGGATACTAGCACAGTAATAATACTTCTTTAAACGCTGGGTTTTAGAATCATTTTTTGACCCCCAAAATATGTATGATCTAAGACATTGTTTTCTTCTGTAGATGAGATACAACCCATTTGGTTCCAGTTGACATAGGACCAGAAGATTTGTCAAGTACAAATAGACTTAGCCTAACATTACCCCTTGATCTCAATAAACCTACAGTATTGTATAAGATTTGATTAGCCAGGTAGGAGTCCTCATTCCAAAGGAAATCTTATTGTTATCCGATTGCTAATTTGTATTCAAGAGAGAAAGCGTACAGGTAATCTTTTTGATCCTTATTTATAAATTCTGAAGACTCTTTCACTTTGACTACTTTGTAGTAATTAAAATGTTTGTACCCTCTACTCTGAGGTTACTCAGAGCATTTCAGAGTTTTAGCAATAATTTCTTTAAATGTGTTTTATTTGTTTTATTTTTGTTTTATTTATGATAGAAAAATGGTAGAGGAGAGAAAAATCAGTGAATCTGCCAGTTTCAGATCAGCATTTGGATAGTATTGAAGAGCAGCAAAGTAAAAATGCTATATGGGATTTGTGCTGAAGAACAGTGATCTTAAAGTGGGGGCATGAGGTGTTCTCTTTCTGTACAAATTCTTAAAATGTATTTCTTATTGGAGCCAGATGTGACTAAGATTCTAAATTGGTAAAAAACAAAAAAACTATCACTTGTGCCCATCAGCATTTTATCTGCTTCCCCAAATTCATTTTCTTAAGTGTTTCCCATTTTCAGCATCTTCCCAAGTACCCCCTTTCTATCTGATATCAAACTGCACTCATTTTGCTTCTGCTGCCTCTATTCATTCATTCATTCATTAAGAGGGGAGGGATAAGAGAGGAGGGGTAGAGGAAGAGAGAGAGAGAGAGAGAGAAAATCTCAAGCAGGCTCTAAGGCTAGTGCAGAGCCCTATGCAGGCAGAGCTCCATCTCACAACCCTTAGATCATGATGTGAGCTGATATCAAGAGTTGGACACTTAATCCATTGAGCTACCTAGGTGCCATCAGGTACCTCTATTTAGAAAAGGTTAATTTAATTATAGGAGCTTTGAGAATCAAAATATTACCTTTTTTTAGTAATGTTGGCACATTTGGAAAGAGGCTTTCAGTAAAGATTTAATCCAAGGAACAGAATCTTCAGTGGTTGAATTTTAGACATGATAGTGCATAAGTGGACTTTTTGGGGAAGGGGACAGCCAGGGATGGTGGAACTGGAAGGAGTAGGATCAGAGGAATCTTCTCAAGGTACCAGCATTCATGCTTTATAACATTTGGCTGATTTTTTTCTCCTCCTATATACCTAAATAGATTGGATTTAAAGTTTTGAGAACTATTTTTAAATCCAACTCATTCTTATGATGTTTCAGTATATTATCTAAACTCCTATCCACATAAAGATTTATATATACCCCTGTACATAAGAACTAAATATACACTTTTATTTGCTATAAAATCAATATTCATATGAGATTATATGGTAATTATTTTCCACAGGACCATTGTATTTTTATATACTGTATATTTACCATATAACCACTTAGGTTTTAGTATAGCCCCCTTACCTCAATTCCTTCTGATCTTCTGAATTTATTGTCATCAAGGGTTTTTAAAATGTGCCAATGTTACCATTTTTATTTACATGCTGTTGTAAGATGTTTTAATTAAAGACACACACCACAAACCCTCTAATTCCTTCAGTCACATCCCATTTCCCTGTTCACGTATCTGAGAATTAGCTCTGCAAAGGATCACAAAAACAATGCAGCTTACCCTGTTGACTTCCGCTGTCTCCCACCCACAGACTCTTGGGAAGTATTGTCAATTCCATTTTGGGTAATTAATTAAATAATTTTATTATGCTGTGTACTTTAGGGGTAGATAATTGGAGGTTACTTACTGTAAAAACTCATGGTTAGTTTCCTGACCTCATTTGCTAATTTTAGCCTCTTGGTAAGATGGCACTAGATTCATACAGCTGAACTCAGAACCTTAGAGGTCACTCAACATCTTGTCCTCTTTCTACTCCAATTGCCTTCATTTTGCTTTTTCTTCTGAAAAGACTGCTTCAGAATGGAAAACTCTCTCTAAAATATATAGCATTATTGCCTTATACACAATTAAATCAAAACCTGAGAGGCAATCCATACCTAGAACATTCCCCAAAAATAGTAAAGTCTTCATTGACTGGAGACTATCATATCATGTTGATGGAATGTGTGGTTTTTTGTTTATTTTTAATGTAACTGTCTTCTATTTTAACAGCTACATTTACTATAAAGAGTCTGTTAAGCTGGTGTCCTTGATGCTCCTGTTCTCAGCTGAATATATACAGCAGACTCTCTCAGGAAAAGAAATCCAGAGCATATAAAGCAGCTGAAAATACCAATTTCACACAAACTAATTGAATCATATCCTACATTTTTAAATATGTAATTTATTTCAACTTAGTACTATGTAATCCTGTAGAACAAGAGTTGATATCAAATATTTTGTTTCAAATTTCCCTGCTGTGTTTTATACTAATTGACAATTAAATATTTTTTTTTTACTAAATCATGTACAGACTTTGATGAATAGGAGCTCCAAAGCCACTAAATTGAGAGAATTTTTTATCTAGTACATACAATTGTAATACTGTCAAAGATTTTGCAGAAATAAAGCATGTACTATATTAAGAATATCAATACCCTAATGGTTCTTGGTGGGAACATTAATTGGGCCCTTTACCTGAAATACAATTATCTTAAATAGTTGATTATTTTCTGTGAACATTTTATTGTGTCAATAGCTATCCTGCAGTATATGTGGTTCATTTGTACAGTTCATGATGGTGTTCCTCAGAAAATGAAGTAAATAATTATAAAACAACCTGAGAAAATTTTATGAAATCCGATAGATGCTTTTCTTAAAACTATTTTGGAACCAAGTCATCCTCAGAGCCATGATGGAAAGTGTTAGAAAAAGCTGTAAACCTTTCATTGTATGCTTTTTCTTGTCATAAAATCACCCAGTTACTTAATTGGAAATAGTTTAATATCTCATGTGGTTTAAATTTGGTGTTATATTTTCCTTGAAAATAATTTAGTTTGTAATGCCATATTCTCCATGAATTCAAATGATGCACTGCATGCTTTTAAATGACTTGATGTCTTTGCAGATCTAATTTTGGTGTATTTGTATCTCAAATAATTCGCCAACTCAATATTTTGGCTTAGCAATCCAAATCAAATTGTGGTCCAAGTAGCAGGCACTCACATCGAATGTACAGAGACTTGACAAGCAATTAGCAATGAATATTTAAACGTCTTCATTACCCTTGCATGAGGAATGCAGATGGCATTTAGGGAGATGGCAACCAGAGGGCACTACTATGAATTATGTTTCTATCAGTTGGTCACCTGACTATTGGAAGACTTTCTCTGGGCCCCATGCCACTCCTATACTTCTACTGTCTGGCTAAAATTAAAGGCATTCCAAATGTTGTAAAACAGGTTGCTTTCATGAAATTTCTCTGCACATTTTATGATTTAGGAAGATTGTCTCCAAGGATCCCAGCATATATACCCCTTAGGCGTACCAAACCCAAATGCCAAGACTGTACTGGGGATTCTAAGAATCAGAATTCCTTCAGAAACCCCGCTGATCATTTGCTTCAATTACCTCAGCATAATGTGCTGAATGTGCAAAGGTGAATAAATCCACATTCTGTCCCTCCCAGAAGCTAATGTATTATATATGGCCCAAGAAAAAAATGTCTTTGAATAATTATAATTTCCAGATTGAGCTCTCATTATAAATTTCTTTTTTTAAGGAAAAAACAACACTGGAGAGTCTGACTCAGCAACTGGCAGTTAAACAGAATGAAGAAGGAAAATTTAGCCATGCCATGATGGATTTCAACATGAGTGGAGATTCTGATGGTTTGTGAAAATTGTTCACATATATTCCAATAGTGTGCAGAAGTGTCAATTTAGTGCCAGTTAAAACTACTAAAATGTATATATGATAGCCACCTTTACCTGATCATTACAATAAGTGCTCACATGTACTGAGCAGTTCCCACGTGCCAAGCAATCTGCTGAGTGCTTTGCATAAATCATCTCATTAATTTCTAGCACAACCTGTGAGATAAATACTATTACAAACAAAGAGATTAACCCCTGGGAGTTTTGAATCATTTTTCTCCAAGATAACAGGGCTATAAGTACTAGTGGCAGGTCTTGGATTCAAGATGGCATGATTCTGAAGCAAATACTCTCAGATACTCTCTTTTCAAGCTTTAATTTGTCAAACTCTGACCAAAATCCAACACTAAATGGACATTTTCAGGATATATATATATATATATATATATACATTTGCATTTTGGAACCCTTCACTCTTACACTGTCTACTATACAGTCAAGTGTCCTCCCTCCCCTCCCTTTATAACCCAACTAGAATGCCAGCTCACAGCCTCATGCTTTCTTTACATGCCTCGAGAGTTCTGTTGTCTGCATCATTTCTGAACCTCCTAAACATCCCCAATGACAACTAATTAAATAGACACTCTAATTTTAATAACACAGCAAAGAGAGAAAAAGAAGAAAGCACTATTCCTGGGAACTTCCCTCTAGTGTCAAGTGCTGTACAGGCATTTTGAGAGCACTGTCCTCAAATTTGTTACTATTGTAGAGAGTTCCCTGCATATAGAAAAGACTGCACCAGAGCAAACCATTAGGAAGCATACTTTAGGACAGAGATTGTCTTGAATTCCCCAGAATACATAGTTGTCTACTCTGTGCCTTGGGCCAATTCCACTTTTAAGTGCAGTTCTGTCCTAGCCAAGAGACTAGCCAAATTTGAGCATTTAGCCAGATAATTTTATCAAAACTGAATTTTATTCAGTTGGATATCCAACAAAAGTCAGTGTTTTCCTGGCCTGTTGGATCCAAACATTTCCTTCTATCTTCTTCCTCACTTGGCTAAGATAAACCTGGCCTAAGTACACATAAAGAGCTTGTTTAGCTTTGATGAAGTTGCCTAATGTTCATTTTATTGCTTATGTTGCTGTAAGGTGTAAGAACAAGAAAAAGCAGATGTGCAAATGATCATTTGCTAGTTACAACCCATTCTAGAAAGATGTTGCCATATATTAGCACTCATTTTTGTCAATAAAAAGACAATTACCGGTAATAACACATTTCATAAATTTTAAGTTGTATTAGCATGATAAAATATACCCATAGTAATCAGCATTAAAACATCAAGATTTTGTTGCTGTTATTTGTTAAATTCAGTCATGCTTGTATGCAAATATTTTCCAATCTTCATCAGACCAAAGACTATGAATGAGAAATAATGTGAAACTCCACCAACAGGTATGCCGTGTTCTTGTTTGCTGCTCTAGAGGTCTTTAGGTCCGGGTTATTTTGGTTGATTCCCATTCCTTCTAATTGAGAAAAGACAGGAAGAGAGATATGAGGGAAGAAAGAAAAAGCAGCGCTTTTATTAATGATACAACCTCTAGAAATCCCAAATTGTTTCAAAATTTTATATGCTACCAAAATAATACATCTCTTCCATATTTCCTTATGACACCCCTGGAAAACTTAGTATCGCAGTTCTGTGTTTCTTGCTGCTCCTCTTGGTCTTCTTTGCCTAAACTCAGGTATCTCTGGAAGCTGTTTACTCTGGTGAAACTATTCGCAAAGTCACATGAAGCCTAGAGGGGCGAAGGCAGCTCCCAAGGGTTCCACTGTGGCTCTTGGTCATATTTTATCATCATGAGTCTTGCAGACCAGAATGGAACTTACAGTGGGTCCCTTTGCATAACTTTAGACATTAGGGAGAAAATTCAGGGAAATAAATATATTATTTGTTTCCCCTAAATATGAGGCTGTGAACTTCTTAGGAAACCATAGTAGTGTAACTGTTCTTTTTTCTTCCCCCTACCATTTTTAGATACCTTCTGGTGAGTAGGCTATCATTAATGTCTCAGCATAGTTCATGCATTTATTAGCACAAAATTGCCAGGAAAAGCCAAACACATTACAGAAGAATTTCTATATTGCATTTTAACCTCAAATTTTTATTCAGCAGCATTTTTGTTTATGTTACCTCAGGAGAGAAAATGGACATGGCTACTGTTCTGGCTGTCTTTAGGTAGCAGAGATATATCCTTACCTGTGGTCATCCATCATGCCAAACAGATTAACGTTTCACAATTTTATGAAATCCTTCATCTATTTAATATTTCTATGGTACCAGAATGCCTATTGGTATGCGTCAACTATTCTCTTTCCAATTTGCGTCAAAGATTATATATTCAAGTTTCTTGTGTCCTCTTAAAAATTGATGGTGACACAGTCCATAATCCATTGAATAAAAGGAAAAATATATTAGAAATGGATTAAAAATGCAGATCTGACAATTGCCACTATAGGGCTTATCACAAAAACTTCATAAACAAGCATTCTGTCTCAAGAACCAAAAGTACTCTTATCAGATGTACTTTTTATATTTATATTTTAACAGACTTGAATCCATATTTCACTAGACAAATATTCAATAACAATACAAAGGAGAGAATTACCAAGTCTTAACACTCATACAAAGTAATGTTCCCTATTTTTAGGAAGTGCTGGAGTCTCAGAATCAAGAATTTATAGAGAATCCAGAGGGCGTGGTAGCAATGAACCCCACATAAAACGTCCAATGAATGCCTTCATGGTGTGGGCTAAAGATGAACGAAGGAAAATCCTTCAAGCCTTTCCTGACATGCACAACTCCAACATCAGCAAGATATTGGGTAAGAAACATACTAATGGTTATGTGATGTATGGAATAAATGTACAGCTCTGCTTTCTGCAGCTGTTGAAAGGTACTGGCTTTGGAGGCCAGGCAGTTCATGTGATCTGCTTATCTAAAAAATAAGCACCATTAATTGAGGCTTTTCTTCTGATGACAGATATTTTATGTGTGTTGAGAAATAGGCCTAGTTTTTTTTTTTTAGCTAATTTAGTTGTGTGTCTCTATACTAATTTTTGTAATATTTTCTCTTCTTTAAAATCTAGAAATATTTTGTGCTAAGAATAAGAAAAAGTTATTTTCCTGTGAGCCACTTGATAATGGTATTGACTATATTTATTTTTTTCCTTTGGATTACAGTATTCTTCACGTGGTAGGGATGGAGGTATAGGTGATGATTGTTCCAGGACTAGAATTGAAAATCAGTTTAGATTGTCAGGACACAAGAGGATGTAGCATGTGGTGCAATTTTTAATTTATATTTCACTATTTGCCTTACATACCTAGACACTGAAGCATACAGAAAAGATGGGTGAGAGGTAAGAGTAATGATTATAAAGAGGCCTACTGTATACCAGTTTATGTCCCGGATAGAGGAAGGGAAAATTCCATTTCCTTTGTGCTGTTCACTTGACATCATCATCATCTTCATCTTCTTCATCTTCAGATGGTGTGATGGCCAGCTACTGGATAACCTAAGCAACCTAACTTACTCTCTGACTTCTAAGAGCTAAACAACAAAAATAGAATACGAACACCTAACTCCAAATTTGGGCTTCAACAAATAAGTAACATTTCTCTAAGTTAACTAAAGCTTTATTAGAATCCATAATGCACTTGGAATTACATGCATTTAATGCAAGTATGGTGTTTCTTTTATCCCTTTACATTAAGTAACTGATCGTCTAAAAGTAGTTACTAAACATACACATGTGTTTTTATGCTCCCATATTCTCAAATTCTCATATTACTCTGGGGGAATAGATGCCACCCAGTCCACAGTGTACATTTGTAATGAGATCAAAACAACCAAGAAAATAAAGACCATTAACCACTTAAATTTATGTCTCAATTTTCATCTAAAATGATTTTAAGATCTTTAGATTAATATGATCGCAAAAGATAAGAAGAGTATGTTAAGCTTAGAAAATGTGAACATTGGGATCCCTGGGTGGCACAGCGGTTTGGCGCCTGCCTTTGGCCCAGGGTACGATCCTGGAGACCCGGGATCGAATCCCACATCGGGCTCCCGGTGCTTGGAGCCCGCTTCAACCCTGCCTGTGTCTCTGCCCCTCTCTCTCTCTCTGTGACTATCATAAATAAATTTAAAAAAAAAGTTTTTTTAAAAAAAAGAAAATGTGAACATTTACAGATAAAGGAAATGGACATTTTTTACATCTCTAAAATCTCTGATCTATTTTTCCTTTTTATGACCATATCCTACCTTCCATATGAAATTTCCCATTTTTAAAAAGATGTCACACCTGTTCCATTTGGGAAAAGTCTAGAAAAGAATAAAATATTTTATGTAAGCATATTCCATATTTTAATGTATCCATTATCACAAAATTAGAAATCCCAAAATGTCAAAATGAGAAAACTAAATAATAAGATTGTTTAAACTGTCTTTATATCATTCAGTACTTTTGTCTAAATACTGGAAAAGTGATAATCACTGCTTAAAACTTTATCCTAAGTAAAAGAGAAATAACAGTTTTGATGATATGAAATACTTTAGGAAATGCAGCAAAAGATTTTATAGGAGACACATGACTAACTGCAAGAATTTCTTTCTGGGTTGAAGACAAGAATATTAGAATGACCGTATGATTATAACATAATGGACTACATGAAAAAAAGTGCTGCCTAATTTTAGACTTTTCCATAGAATTGTGTTCATTGAAGATATAGCAGGAAAAAAACTACTGAGGGGGGACCTGAGGTTTGGGACCTCAATATTTGGTCATTGCTTCAAATAAATAAGTGATCTTCAAATATCCACAAGATCATTCTAACTGGCCCATTTCATATAAAAGTACAAAGAAAGCTTGATGTTTTCCTCTTTACTGATTGTTTTGGATAACAGCCTCCGACAGCATGCTGCTAATTCATTCTGCTTAAAACCGGCGCTTGAGCTGGGTTGACATTTTACGTAGTCTCTGGGGATCCTAGTTGACATTTTAAAGGGCTTCTAAGCATTTTATAATACCCTAAAATCTGGTTTTAATAAGCCATTCTGCTGAAATTGTTAACATAAGGAATCACCTTTTACTGTTTGGCGCTAGATCAGGGGATGGGGGACATCTTTTTCTGATTAGATATACAGTAGTTGGAGTAAAATGTGCAAATTCATTACAGACCCCATGGAGGTGACAATGCTGCTCAGCTCAAACTTCATTTTTATTGTATTGCCAGATTTAGAAAGGAAAAGAGTACTCTCAAGACTGTTTTTTGTTGTTGTTGTTCTTATTTTGAATATCAGATTTTTTTTTATTAAATATTCCTCTTTATCATCAGGATAAATGTCCTTTTGCATTTTTCCATTGTAAAAGGCCAGTCTTTTGAAATACGCAGGGAGCTTACTCCCTATATGTGGTCCAGGGTAAGCAACCAGCCACGCCCAAATCAAGTAGATCTTTTCATCTCTTTTGGAGAAACCTACAAGGCACATCCAGAGTGTCCCTGGGTTCACATCGTAGCTATATACACTGGATGTGGTACCTACAAAGCCATTAAAACCAAAACCAAACCTGTCCTTTGGTTGACCCTATTCAAGAGTCATTACTAAAAAATGAAAACTGGGGGTGCTTGGGTGGCTCAGTCCGTAAAGCATCTTCCTTCAGCTCAGGTCATGATTCCAGGGTCCTGGGATCGAGCTCCACCTCGGGCTCCTTGCTCAGTGGGAAGCCTGCTTCTCTGTCTCCCGCTGCCCCTCCCCCTGCTTGTGTTCTCTCTCTCTCCCCCCCCCGTCAAATAAATAAATAAAATCTTTAAAAAATGAAAACTGCATTTACCACCAAATCAAAACACTATTTGTTCTGCACTGTCATAAAACAGAAGAGTTAGCCATTTTGCCAACTATAGACAGTGCGTAGGCTACTTAATTCTCCATTTTAAAAAGACATAACCATGAGATGGCCGGCTTTTAAAATGTAATTTAGGATTCAGTGATACTTCCAGGGAAATTACATTATCAAATGTCTAAATATTTTGTGATACCAGTTCATTCTAGATTTAGGAGCCAATTTGAGAATTTACACATCTTTTATTATATATGTATATTTATTTTATCTTTATATAAATATATATCTTTTATTTACCATATATATGTGTGTATGTGTGTATATACATATATATTTTCCTATGCATTTCAGCCAGATCAACTTTCTTTAAGTTCCTCTAATCCCCCTTTCCACTTGACTATTCTGTTCTTCCTCCACAGAAGGCTCTTCCTGGCTGATTCCTAAAGGAGTCACAGCAAAGCCTTCCTGACCCACAAAAGATTGATCTCAACTTCTTACCATGGTCTTAGAGCTTCCTGTACTTTCCACAATTGTAATTAAAATAATAAATTTTTGAATTAGCTGCTTAATGTATTTCCTCTCCACTGGAATATGAGCCTCAAGAAGATAAGGAACATGATGATTCACCACTGCATATCCAATAATTAATACAGCGTGATGCACATAGTAGGAAATCTAAGAAGAGTTATAACATTCTGAGGCAGGTACTATGAGGCATAAACATTCCCTCTCCATAGAGAAATGTATTCTTTTTGAGCTTACAGAACATTTAAACTTAGAGAAGAACCCCTAGCAAATCCTATTCTAAATGAGAATGCTAGTTTCTTTGTTCTGTCTAATAATAAAGCTAGGACATTTTAAAGTCAACCATTATAGGTCCATCTTTCAGTGTATTGCTTTGATTCTTAAGTAAATTATTTCTGGTAAGCTCACTTTGGCACTCCCTGATCTGAGGTTTAAAATCCTATTGTACATACTTGTAAGAAACTTCCCAAAAAGAATTCATTCTAGTTCAATAGTATTATAGCTTTACCTGTATTTATATTTGCCCTGAGAATAACATAATGGTTTACAGTACCTCTAGAGAATAATGTTGGGCAATATAGAGTTTGAGATTGTACCTACAGATTATTGGATGTGGCTATTTAAACACAAGTTTGAGAAAGGAATGGAAACATAAACTATATTATTTGAACCATAATCTGGATTTCTGTAGTAAATAGAATAAACTATAATGGCTGTCTATATTGGAAAAAATATTTTATAAATTTTTGTTAATACCTCCATGGATATATCCACCCAGGCAACATCTGTTCCAATAGGAAAGAATTCTAAGGGAAGAGTATCGTCCCATATTTACCATATTTCTTTAATACGTATAACAGTACATGTTGAGGAATTGTCAGCACTTTTAGGGAAGAACTGTTTATCAGTGAGCTATTTGCATTTGAGATAACGGAATTATGGTTGAATAATGAACCCATTTGAAAGCCTTAAGATCTTGCTTAGATAACTTTGGAAGGCAAGTAAAGACTTCCGTACCAGAACACATTTGGTAGGGAACTCCCAATTCCAGTTATTTTGGTCTTTGTGCATTTGAGCAGAGTTGAGCTGATTACTTACTGATAAACACACTTCTTCTGAAAATAGATTCTCCTCACATGCTTAAGAAACATTATTACCACTACTACTTTTACTACTATACATAGCCACAGTAATAGAATCAAAGCTTTAAATCACATTTATATTGAGAATGAGCATAAATATTTTTAATTAAGCTCCGAACATTTTTTTCAATCCTAGTTGAATTCAAACCTAAGTCAAAAAGAAAAGAAGGGGAAAATCAATTGGGATTGATATTATTAATGCATACTATGTCACAAGAAATGACATCTTTATATATTATTGAAAGTGTTTTATTAAGAGAAAAATCTGACCCCATACATACTTATTGGTGTAATTCTGACCTCTGCAGAGATAGGTGGGTCTAGGTATGTAAAAACATACAACATACATTGTAGCATACTTTCAATTACATCGAACCCGAGTTTGAGTCTCAGGTTAGCAGTTTAATAGTTGTGTGACCTTGGGTAAGTTACTTCATCTATTTGAACTTCAATTTTCTCATCTATGGAAGTAGGTATAAATGTTAATAACTACCTTACAGGATTACAGTGAAAGATAAAAATGAGACACTTAACATAAAGTTTTTAGCACAGTATCGAGCACACAGTAGTTACTGAGTGCATGTTAATTAATATATATTTTTTGTAATTAAAGTTTTAATGAAATGAATTTTTAAATGCAATCATTCATAAAAGCAGACTTAAACATTTTGAGGAGAATTGTATATGTTAGAAACCCTTGTAGTAAGTAATGTGCCCCCATGTAAAACTACTCCATAACTAGATAATTAGCCACAGATTGAAAATGTATAATAAATTTTTGCATAGCTTTTTAGTTCACAGTTGAACTATATCATGATGTACCATGGAAATGAAAGGTATATTCTTTAAGTTATCCATGAGCTTTTAAATATATGATATACTCAGTTGGCTAAATTATTAATTCCAGCAAGAAAAATTAAAAAAAAATAGATGCTCCGTGTTTGTATCTTTGGATACAGTTTCCTTGCGGACACAGCCACCAACACCTCTGTTCTCATGGGATCTCATCTCTTGAGTCGTAGCTTGCTAATCAATCATATTTTTATGTCTTTCTGGGTTTTATGTCTTTTCTGGGTTTAGATTTTCTTGTTCTCAGTTCTGCCTTTTTAGGAACCTGAGCAGCTGTGCAAATTGGTATCTCAACCTTCTTTTTCTCCCAGGATCTCGCTGGAAAGCTATGACAAACCTAGAGAAACAGCCATATTATGAAGAGCAAGCCCGTCTCAGCAAGCAGCACCTGGAGAAGTACCCCGACTACAAATACAAGCCCAGGCCAAAGCGCACCTGCCTTGTGGATGGCAAAAAGCTGCGCATTGGTGAATACAAGGCAATCATGCGGAACAGGCGGCAGGAAATGCGACAATACTTCAATGTTGGGTATGCGCCTTTCTGTCTTTTTTTTTTTTTCATAGAGAATGCTTCTTGCTATATATAATGGGATGTGAAACATAGTTGTTTGGTTGCGAGGCAGCATTTTGAAAAAGATCCTGACTGTCCCCCACATGCTCCTGACAAAGAATACCTCCATACGAAGTGACTCCAAGTGCCTAGAACAATGGCTCTAGCATGAACTCTCCTAACAACGGGCTTAAAAATAAAATATCTGAAAGTAAATAGTTCTGAAGTTCACTACTGAAAACAGAGAAGTATCGTGGGTTCTTTCCCTTGTTGATTTTCATTACTTCCAGGGCTTCACATTGACAAGTTCCACAACATCTTTGTTGAGATAATACAACACAAAAATGATTTCAACAGAAGTGTTTGCTTTTGAATATAGAGGGACTTGGGTGCTATCAAGGCACACCGTGACCTTTGTAGATCTCGTAGTGGCGACTCTATTTAGAGCACAACGGTGTTGTGAATGGGAGAGCTTTCTTCTGAATTAGGAATGTAGCTCTCAGGAGGTTTTACCCTGCTTCCTATGGCAAGGCTGCCTATGGTGTCCTATTATGCTGCCTGCAACTTCATGGCTTCTGCAGAATTTTCTCAGAAAGCACAGAAATAAAGATGTTCATATCTAGAACAGAAGTCAGTAAGATTCCGGAGAGATGCTTAGAATAATAAAATACTGTTCTGAAAATGGTCAGAGGATACCTTAGAAAAAAAACTTTTAAAGTCTGCCCTGTCCTCCCTGGAAAGAGCCTGCCTGCTCTGTCCCGTGGCCTCTGATTTATATCCCAGTGCCTGACTCTTCGCAAAGCTGAGCATGAAACCCAACACTGAGGAAATAGTTAGCATATGAATGAATGAAAGAAGGCATAACTGAACGTCATCTATTAATCCCTTCCCACAAGGACCAGCTACATAATTTGTAGAGCCCAGTGCAGTGAAAATGTGGGGGCTCCTGTTAAAAAGTTTAGGATTTTAAGACTGCGGCAACAGAACTTTAAACCAAGCATAGGGTTGTTCAAGCCCAGGTCCTTGTATAGCTGCAGAGCTGTACACCCATGAGGCTGGCCTGCTTCCTATCCCCCCAACTATTGCAGGGACCAGGTGGACAATGTGATACTGGTCAGTTCTGAGCAATAAGGTTTTATTTTGAGGACTATCAATATTTTAGGGGTTTTCCATGAAAATTGCATTATCTTTAATTATTTCTTAAAATGCTGGGTGTTACAGTGGAGGAAAAATGAACCTGGGGTCAAGTTCTGCTTAAGCTTTCTGCATCTCAGGGTTTCTTTTTCCCATAAAATAGGATAGTAATAAAACCATTATTTTAAGAATCCAAAAGGTAACACATATAAAAGCCTTGTGATCTGTAAAGCGCTATACAGAAGTAAGGTATTGACATCACAGAATTGGACAAACTGAGCAAGTTCGTTATCTAGTAAAACCTGCATCTAAGTTTCCCTCACCCACGGTTCTTTTTTGGGGGGGAATTCCTCTCTGCAGGCAACAAGCACAGATCCCCATCGCCACTGCTGGTGTTGTGTACCCTGGAGCCATCGCCATGGCCGGAATGCCCTCCCCTCACCTGCCCTCGGAGCACTCAAGCGTGTCCAGCAGCCCGGAGCCTGGGATGCCTGTTATCCAGAGCACTTACGGTGTGAAAGGAGAGGAACCACATATCAAAGAGGAGATACAGGCTGAGGACATCAATGGAGAAATTTATGATGAGTTCGATGAGGAAGAGGATGATCCAGATGTAGATTATGGGAGTGACAGTGAAAACCATATTGCAGGACAAGCCAACTGATAAGGGTCAAAAGATTGTTATGACCTTAGGACTTAAAGAAGCCCTAGCTGGTTCATCCTTACCAGTGGCCAAGCACATTAACTTTCTCATACACTGACTGTTACTTTAACTGTTAGTCTTAAATAGTTGGGACATCAGCTGACTAATAGACCTCAGCCTCAAAAGGCTTGGAAAGGAAAAAAAAAAAAAAAAAAAACAAGCAAACAACAATATCAACAACAAGAGATTGAAATAAGCTATGGGTAAAATAATGCCAGTAATTCAGCTGCTACATCCAAGCACTGAAGTCTTACCCGTCAACTTTTTTTTTTTTAATAAACTTTATGGCTGTTTGTTCTACAATGTTCTAGAAATTCTCACTCAGGTACACAGTGCCAACAAGTGGCTTGTGAATGTGTTTTGTTGTTTTGTGCTACAATTTTTAAAAAAGAAATAAGTTTTGTTTTGTTTTTGGGGGTTTCTGGGTTTTTTTCCTTTTTCTTTTTCTTTCCTTTCCTTTATTTTTTTTTTAATGCACCTGACAGAAAAAAAGAAAGATGAATTTCTCTTTACTTCTCTCCACCTTCTCCATCTCTATACTTTAAAGATGGAAGTCTGTGCATGGGGGGGAAGAGGGAAAAAGAGCCTGTTTTTAACTTCCTTGCTATCCACCACAAAATAAGCAATTATTTTCTGTAGAGGACTTTCTTTACCTATTGCACACCACACTACATCTTTGAGCAAGTGCCAAATTTGTACTGAAGTGTTGACCCAGTTCTTTTTTTTTCCTTTCCTTTTTCCTGTTCCTTCTTAAGTTAGGACAGTGTTATATCTTAGACAATCCCTTGAAAAACCTGAAATACCAGCAGCTGGTGAGATTTGACTTTTTTTTTTTTTAAATGGAAACTGTAGGTGCTGTTCTCAGGTGAAAAGAGAGAGAGAGAGAGACATAAGAAATTTAGAGAAAAAATATTTTCTGATCTTGGATTTTTGTGTGTATGTATGTGTGTGATTATGGTACTAATAGGAATAACATTGAACCATTGTGAGTTAAACCCACATCTGGGGATGAAATCCCACATCCTCCTAAGTGACTGGTCTGGAAGCAACCTTGACCTTGACTTTGCACTTCAAATGACAACCAAGATAGGGCTCAGAAATTATATTTTTAAATTTCTAATATTATTGGATGGATCAAGCGGCCCTGTGTAATAGAGGTGTGCATGTATACATGGAAGCTACTAGCAAACTGTTCCCAGATGTCCCTTCTTCCTGGTCAGTTGGTTCCACTAATGTTTGCTACTTAATGATTTCTGTTTGTTTTTCCTATTGATAACTTTGAGCAAAGCAATCATTGTTTTCCTTGAATATATTTGGCCATTTTCCAGAAACACAGGATTAGCTTATTTCTTCAACATTCCATCCTTTCCTGATCAGGAAATGGAACTGATGATTTTATAAGGTATTTTTCATCTCTCCATGAAATGAGGCGGAGGCCATTTGCATTTCATAACTGTGGGCCACGTGCATCCCATACCATAAAAAGCAGGATTTGATTAAAAGTCATGGCAGCCCAACAAAATGGAGCCTGGCTGAACCCAGTGATCCTCACCACTAATCTTCCCTTGCCGTAAGATGAATCCACTGAAGTCCAATTTTTGGTTCCAACAGAGTATGTGCAGAGAGCAACAAGTGATGGTGACAGAACTGGTTATTTAGGTTTTGCCAGCCAAATGCCAAGGCAGTTATAGGGCTTGTACAAATAAATGCAAAATCATTTAAAGTCAATTGCCATTATTTGTACTGAAGCATCAGACAGTAAATACTCCAACCAGTAGCTTGGATGTGCTATGGTTTTCACTCCAGTCATCATTTGCCTATCCCACTGCTCCAACCTGACCCAAAAGTTTGGTATTTACATATAAATAAGAAAAAAAATCCTTTTTATTTTTCTCTCTCTCAAAAGACTTGCTCTGGGGTTTTGCTTGGAGGAGCTGATCATATCCTGCATGTCAGAGATTTTGTTTCGTTTCTGTTCGTTTTTGATGACTGTATTTTCATTTGAACTGCCTCTTTTTGCTAGTGTTGTAATGATGATGATGATAAAATAATAATAATAATAATAGTAATAATAATAATAATGGTCAGCTGTTCCCAGATTAGTAAGTTATGTATAATTTATTTCTCCCTCTCTATTTTATTCTCCTCTGATTTGGAAGTACAGCCAATAAGCTGTTAGATATTTAAAACAAATTTCCATCTTCCAACTCATATATATATATATATTTATACACACACACACACACACACACACACACCACACATTCACCCACACAATTTTACTTCTCCTTTAATAAGTTTTCTCCTTTTTAAAAATTTGGCCCCAACAATGTCAAGTTCTGGTGTTTCATACAAAGGAGTGAATAGGAGGGTCATGTTCAATCTTAATTAACTTATGCTCTCATCACTCATTTAGTTATTTAATTGCCACAGTCATCTAGAGCCAATTTTTTTGTTTTTATTTGTTGTTTTTAAGCACTCTGGATAAGGAAAAGAAAATAGACACTCGTTTTATATCGTTACTATGTACAATGTGAAAACAGATTTTTAAAAATTTGTTCTTTGTCTTTGTTAACAAATTCTTTCTGACTTATGTGGGTTCACCTCTCACGTTTGCTGGATACTTATTTTACACCACATTATAAAAATGCTTTGTTTTCATTTCATGACTTTGGGCTACGAGAATACTTTGTTTTAGCTCCAGGTAGATGCCACTGAGGGCAATCACAGGCTGAAACCAATTCTAACACACTTACCAGTGAATTGACAAAACACTTCTGTTTGGTCTTCTTTGTTTGTTCTTTATTTTGTTTTATTTGAAGGGGAAAACGAAATTTTTAATGGTGACCTTTAACTGCTGAAATTCAGAAGTTAATTTTATTTAGTTAGGTTTATGTCAGAGACACTACACCACGCATGGACGAAAACAGGAAGTCCAGAGCTTGGCGTTCTGTTCTCTCATTCTGATACAGAATTCACTGGAATTCATTCAATTTCTTTGCCTTAGTTTTCCCCCAAAAGAAAACAACAACAAAAAAAATCATATTGATGTTTAACGTGCTCTGAAGTCATTTGATAAAAGGTGCTATGAATAGCAACTTACTGTGTTAACACATTGCCTTTTTGGCATTCAATTGGTTTATCATTTTTGTAAAGGATCCTAAAACCTTGTATTCTTTCTCCGTGCCCCATGGTGATCAAAAAAGCTAAGGGAGAGGAAATGAGAGTAAGATCAAACTGAAATGAAGATAACATTTCCCTTCTCTATCCTTTCCTACCTCCCTGTTCACATATCTCTCTCTTTCTCTCTCTCTCTGTCTCTCTCGTTCTCGTGCACACGCGTGCACCCCTCCGGTACTGAGGAATAATCCTGCCTGAACTCTCATTTTATGGCTATTGTAACCAGTTCCTACAAAAATAGTCATGTTTTAATAGGAATCTAAGAGAACATCACTGGAGAAAATAAGTTGAAGTTGCTCATTTACAAGTTACCATGATCTGGCTAGTTACTGCAATTGGATACAACACAAAACTATTCTTCAGTACATTTATACCTAAATTAGTTAAGTCAATTTTTAACATTTATTTGGCATCTGCATTTAAGAGTTCACCATGAATAAAATCCCTCCCAAAGAACATAATTATTATTGAAACCAAATCCTCTTATAAGGAACAAATATAAAAGAGTTTTCTTTGATGAAATTATTTCATAGCTTTGATTTCAGAGTAGACTTTTTCCCTTAATTCATTTAAAGAAAATTATCCTTAACTATTTTGTGATCCCAATTTCAGATATTTTCTTAATCCAGAAGTTGTTACTGTTCCTAGAGGAAATCTCATATAACACATTTAAAACATCAAAAAATAATTACATCTTCATTCATCCTAATGGGTAAATTATTGAATTGTAATAAACAACTGTATATTTACAAACAGGTTTATAAGATATTTGTCTATCAAGTTCATAGTAAAATAAAAATTATGGGGTCTGCAAGGAAATTTATGAAGCCCACTTAAAGTGGTTCAGATATCTCTTTGTCTTATAGGGCATACGTTTTTGTTTAGACAGGCTTTTACAGTATTTAATTTTAAAATTTCCTATAACTATCAGTTTCCCAAGTTGAAGATGATGTTGTGTTAAGTTTTCTACTGATTGATTCCTGTCCTTCCCAGTGTTTCTGTCACTGGTTCACTAAAACAGTATTTATACAGCTCCACTGGCTCTAAAGCTCTTAGTCCTTCTAACATTTTGGATTTTATGAGTAAAAATGGGAAAAAAGTAGAAGAGAGACAATCAAATGCCTGGAGCTTAAAACAAAGTATGTGCAACCTACCATCTCACTTGAAATTTAATAAAATAAATAATTATGTAAATATAACATAGAGTTATAGATTTATATTTTGTTCATAACACATAGTGTAATATAAGTTGTATATTTTCATGTTTTTGGTTTTATGTTACCATTCATGCCACAATAAAAATAAAACAGGAGTTTATGTACTCTTAAAAAAAAGATGTGGGTTGCCACCAACCTGTTTTTTGTTTGTTTTTTGTTTTTTGTTTTTGCATTCTCTTTTTTCAGTATTACTGCCATGCAAGGCACCAATAAAAACAGCAAATGTGTTCTTTACCTATTATACTGTGTTTCTTTTTCACAATTCTTGTTATGAAGGTATAATCTTTAGTTTTATTATGGAAAGAATAAAAGTATGGAAAATAATTTAGATTTCAATATAAATAAACCCACTTCCTGAAGTTGACTTTGAGAGCTAAGGAGTTAATTCTTAGCGGTGGACATTGCAAGAAGGACCACCAGACTTTTTTATAATGCATCTCCTCATACAGGGATCTAGCCTCACTATAATGTCAAAAGATACTGCTCTCCTATGTAATTGAGTCTCATACACTTTAAAATCCTACAGCCTGAAGCACTTTTAATATTCTTTTCCTAAGCTTGATGCTATCATTGGGGCAGGGTTTCTACACTTTGAAATTAATATTTTATCCTGTTTGTATAGAAAAAAAATGTAAATTTCAGATTTTGAAATTACAAGGAACTGTAATTTTCACCTTGCTGGCATCTAATTTAGAATAATGGACATTTCTAAATTGTTCAACACTCTTACATTAGCTCTGGATTCTACCTTCAACTTTTTAAACAAATGTGAAAAACGAGAAGCCTCCTTTCCTTCCGATGACCATTTTTGCTCACCTTTTCCACCGTATAATGTTTTTCTATCCTTATAGTTCTATGTGTAACAGGTTCCTGTAGGGGCTTTTGTCTGTTTCCTTGGTTGGTTGCTTGCTTGCTTGCTTGGTTTTTAAACAAGTATCAAGATGCTGGATCAGATGGTACCTGGTTCAAATGAAAAGAAGGGAAGTCTATAAAGAGGATATTCTTTACTAGTTGTAATCCCTTAACCGAAGTATTTTACAAACTCTGGTCCATAGACCACCTGCTTCAGAATTAACTGTTGAAAGTGTAGGTTCCTGGGCCTGACTCCAGATGTAGTGAATCAGAATCTCTAGGGATAGAGCTAAAGCTGTGGTTTTTAATGAATCCAGATAATTATGCTGCATGCGCTCATCTTTCAAAACCACCAGGAGGTGGGGCTATTTTCCTCTGCCATTGACTATGGAAATGTCAAATTTTTCAGATCCTGCTGCCTACCATACTTTAACCTTCAGCCTCTCTGAAAACCTTGAAGGTTAGGGTCAGTGAGAGGCAAGAATTTGAGATTAGAAAGAGGTCTCCATCTGTCATTTCATAGATTGTGTTTGGATCCACCAGCACCATACTCGTCCATGATCCTTGTCTCTCTGCTCTGGCATTGTTCATGGGCCATACATGAGGCTTGAGAGTACCAAGGGAGGGGCACACTGAAAATATAGCGGAACCACACAAAGCTACACCCACTTAGTATTTGCAAAACGAGATGAGGTTCTTTTGAAAAGAAAATTTCCACTGAAAAAGTGAAGAGATAACTATTCCATGCAGTGTTTATAATAGATCACCTATGGCTACACTGGTAACAGTCTCCTCCTGTTACTTCAAAAAAAAAAAAAAAAAAAACAGCATTATCATAATGGATGTGCTAACTGTAGGTAGACAAGGAAAAGTCTTGTCTGGTTATGAAACCTGCCCACCCAGGAGTGAAGTCCCAACCACCTCCTCTCTTTCCTACCAAATAAAGTTCACTTAGTTTTGTCCTGTGATACTTCAATTTAGAAGCATTTTGTTCTTGACCTTTATGTTTTTTTAGTTTCTTATGGAATACTTAGGACTAGCATGCAATAATGGATTGTTTTTTTACTGCCAATGCCTTGAACAACCAAAAAAAAATACTGGCAATAGTGAAAAGAAACCCATTCTCTTTTTCTCATTTATCTCAATTTTGCCAATTTTAGTTGTTGGTGTTTGAGGACGTTCACATATGTGTTTTTAAGAAATCAGGACACTATCATTCTTACCAAATTTTAAAGTTCAGCAATCATCCCTATTTATAACTTAAGACCATCACTGAAACCTCAGTTAGAGCAATGGAGGTAAAGGTAAGCATGTATTAGTCCGATGTCTGAGTTAAAGAATATTTATGAAAAAAAAAATTTATTTTTCTTGAGTTGCTGAAGCAACCTAATAGCTAGCTGAGAAGACCTGTTTTATAAGTAAGCATTGTAATTAGTATGTAAAGTGTATGCAATAGTATTGCTGAAAGTTCTTAAAAATAGTTATGTTTTCTTAAACAGGCTAAACATCTGTCCTACAATGTTGTTTGTTCTACCAATTTGCTTAGCAAACTATTTTTTACCATCAAGAATGAACCAGTTCAGCTCTGATCACAATGATCATCATTTTTCAGTTAGTCAGGTCCAGATTCATGAGATTTTACTCCCCTATTACTGCCATTTTCTAAATATGCAGGCGACAACAGGATGGAATGATAATTTATTGCTATTCAAAACATAACCAAGAGAATGAAAGTTGTTTTATTATTGATGTCTCTACTGATTCAATTAAAAAAAAAAGAAAGAAAGAAAGAAAGAAAGAAAGAAAGAAGAAAGAAATTACCAGAACAAATGTAGGAATTCAGTAGGCCTAAGTGAACACCACCGTTTTGTACATTGCCTGTTCAATTTAGTATTAAATTTCAGAGTCTGGAAAGCAATCCTAATTACACACAAACTGTAAAATATATTTGAAATAAAGTCTTTTGTTTATAAAAATCACTGTTGTGATAACTTTTTTAATAAATTAATGTGGTCTTGGTAGAAAGTTGGAGGAACCACCACAGGACATATTTAAGTAATTAATTATTTACATAGAGAACTGGCTCTATTCAACTCGCTCCAACATTGGCCCTCAGTGAACATTCATTTTGCCTTACATACTAAACCTACAATTGGTGGTTGCATGAACCTAAGTTTGATTCAGTACTATAATCATTACTAGTATACCCCAAATAATTACACAAATTGTCCTTTTTATTTGGAAATGATCCTTTAGGCAACGTTGTCTTCTATTGGGTTAACATACATGAATGGAATTAACAATCTGCTTTCTTATGGGCAGAGCTTATTTGACATCTGGAAAATGAAATGAAATTGCCATTGGTCTAGCATTTGTGCCCAAATGCTAACTACAGTTATGGAAAAGAAAATTTTAGATTGTCCTCATTAAAAGGTTATCAATTTCTCTCTAACCCATTTATTCCACAAATCTATAAAGCTTTGATATTATAGCCTATTATGTCACCCAAATCTTGGATTCTTGCTTATAAAATTCTCTGGTGGAACTTTATCTTTGTCTCTTATTGTTCTAGTAAAATTTAAAGGTAACAATTTTCAGATACTTTAAAATTCTCAGAGTTTATGTTGGCAAACCTTTAGAAAGTTTTGGAAATTTTGCACTTTTTCTGTAAATTTTAAACACACAAAACCTGAGCTTGTATCATGGAAAGATATTTAAACTTTTTCATAAATAAAAAATACAAGTCGGGAAAAATGGATGATATTCATATGAGGTTGTGCTAATGATTCAATAATTGGCAAATATTAAGTGAATTATGCTAACCTGGTTCTCCTGGCAATAAAAAACTATAACTCTTGTCAAAGTTGATGAGCCTCTGGCTCTCTAGGCCATCATATTGGCTTTATATAATTATATAGACTCTTGCCCATTTTCAAAATTTGGTATGCCTTGGAATAAATACGCAATTACAAAAATGCCAATACAATTAACACATACCACATAAAGAAACAAGGGGTAAGGAGTAGGAATAAAAACAGATTACACACACTCACGCAGCTCTAATCACTGAACAAAAAAAATAGCCCTTGTTTTCATAGCAGTCAGGGCAAAGAAGAAACTACATGGATTAGAGAATTCTTATTGCTTAATTGAAGGAAGCATGCGAGTTTATCAAGAGAAATAAACCTTCATTGCCCTAAATTCTTGGATGGATTTCACACTTAAAGGATAAGAAACAATGCAAAGAGCCACTTTTTTTGTAAGCAGATTTGCAAAAGCTGTAGATTTGTTTCATATATGCTTACTCTATCAGTCCTTGAGAAGAGTTTTATGAAGATAATTTGCAGGGGGTCAGAAAGGGAGAGGGTGTACATATGAATAGATAACTGGATATATGGATTAGACAAGGATTTACAAGGATAAAGCTAGGAGAATTGTAGTTGTGATGAATATTTATCATGTCCCATAGACTAGCTTTTTCAACTATCAGATGTTTCAAATTGGCTTTTAATTATGCCATGTCCAGTATTATGATAGGTCTATACAAGATATAAAACAATACTTCTTCCCTCAGCATTTGTAATTTCCAAGGGAATAAGACAAGCGTACATTAAGCAATAAAACAATATAAGAATATGATTAATGAATCAAAGACTATAAGTGATACAGAATCTCAAATGAAAACAAGATCATTTTACTATTTACCGAGACTTCAACTTCTAGATAAATGTAGTAGGTTCCACCTTCCCACTAGAACAACTAGAAAAAGCTAGAAAATTACAAAAAAAAATATATATTTAAAAAGCATCAGAAAACCATGAAAGAAATGAGATTAAATGAGCCACAATTCGAGAAAAGCAAGAATCTGTCTTAGGTGAAGTTGATGGTTGCTAGCCATTTCTGTTTAATGAAGGCAGTAGCAAATCCTGGAGGTTGGCAGCTCCTAGGTGAAAGAGAAACCAGCAAAGCAGTTGTGTGGATCTTACATGACAAACTAGAGCTCTAAGGGACCCCAAATCCAAGATGAGTTTTACTAATGGGATGTTTTCTGAGCTCTGTGGCTGTGTGGGATGTGGAAGATTTATGGCAAAAGCTCCTCAAAAAAGATTGAAGTTTCTTGCTGTCATTTAGTGCTTAGGAAACAAAGTCCAAGGATGCTCAGGTGGCTCAGTGGTTGAGCGTGCGTCTTCGGCTCAGGGCGTGATCCCAGGATCCGGGATTGAGTCCCACAATGGTTTCCCTGCGAGAAGCCTGCCTCTCCCTCTGCCTATGTCTCTGCCTCTATTCTCTCTCTCTCTCTCTCTCTCTCTCACTCTCTCTCCCCGTGTGTGTCTCTCTCATGAATAAATAAATAAATTTTTTTAAAGGAAATAAAGTCCAGCCAGAGATGTGGGGCTTGCCTAAAGTGTACAGATAGTCTCCCTTGTAAGACATTTGACAGATTTGATTTTCAAAAGGTAGGAATCTGACAAGTTGGACTGGAGTCTA